TTCATCCTGCACGGTGACAAAACTGATTGTGTTCATTGGTCACATTATACGAAATAATAAGCGCCAAAATTGTTGATGTGCAACGGCGTGTGTTAAGATTCTGATTCAACTGTTAAACTATAGTACGCTGTAAATTCACGAATGAACGCTCATATTATGAGAACACACCAAGTTAGTTCCTAAACATTACTACGCATTGTCAGAATATTACATACCACATTAACTGCTATATACTCGTGAGAACTTCTAGAACTATTAAAAAACTTCTTGCTAACTTCGTGAAAACGATAAGTGAACTATAGTTATATAAATAATACGTAGATGAGATCTTACAGTTAACCGGTCGTGATCACTAATTTTTTGCAACCATGGCATGGGTCAAAAAAGGTGCGGTTATGATGTTAACTATATATGTACAATCTGCAGCGCATCTGAAGATTTCAGATCGGCAAAGGTTCGCCTGGAAAAGGGGCGAGGGGCGTCCATCGATACGGAGTCACGGAGGGTACTCGTCGATGATGTGTCACATCAATCAACTTGACTTTTTTGAACTATAAATACGCGAATAAATATAAACTAAGGCCCATCTCCCATCGGGGGAGGGAAGGGGCGATTCATCCATGGTTTTCTTTAAACACTTTAATGTGTATAACAGTAGGTCGGAAGAATTCGTTTAGTATACAAGATATTTCCTGCTGTGTAATTGATACTTTATATGTATACCACAGGCATAGAGCTATAAAAACACTTGGCTCTTGAGTTATGTGTAATGATTTAGTCCTATATAATATATATAGATAATACCTACTTAAGTATAAAACGACACGAAACATAAACTTATACGACAGCAACTTTGAGGGTTGTATGCGACGGGATTACAAGTGATTTAATTGCACTCCGATTAATAGGTATTTGAATAAATTTTATATTACTACCGAACGCGTAGTTTTCTTAAATACACATAATATATGTGGGGAATATGCTACATATTATTATGGTGATTTAACAAGTCAAACTAAAAGTTCAAAACAATATATGGTGCATTGTGATATAATTGATATCGTTTATTCTACAGTAATACCATTATATATTACGCAAAACCCAGCTCAAATAAAGTATACACCTAATACATAAACCGCATTTGATATAAACTGATTACACGTAATTAAATGGCATCGGAAACGACCGAGGCTACTGCGGAGTATAATTCGGCTAGTAATTCCGAGTTTTAAAATCAAAGGGCAGGCTTAATTGCATTACTTATAGTTGTAAAATCTAATTTCTATTGTATATACGCTATAAAACATTAACTCGATTTGGACGTTTTATTAGCGAGCAACAAAAACACGGCGCGTGGTCGGTCGTAAGACTGAAAAATAGACATAAAAAAGCTCAGTACGAGTCGCCGTGTTTAGTTAAAGGTTTATGACGTGCATGTAATGTGTACCTATTGGTTCGGATCAAAAAGTCACGTCGTACCATCAGTATACAAACACATCATGCCCGCACAGCGACCGATTGGTGAACTATTTTTTTTGCACTGAAAACTCTTCATTTTTTTTCTGGTCATCTGTAGATCAGTCTACCCTGCTAGGGAAAACACACAACATGGCGACCCACACCATGTATATATATATATAAATATGTGTGTGTGTGTATAATATATTGTCACGAAAGTTTTTTTACCCGGAAACGTTGATGGTACCTACCATGTGTAAATATGATCACGTTCTCTCCATCTCTCTCTCTCTGTCTGTCTCTATCTGTCTCTCTCTTTGTCTGTCTCTGTCTGTCTCTCTCTCTCTCTCTATCTCTCCTCTCACCCACTCTCTTTCCCTCACTATATATATAAATATTATTATACCTATACCCTTCATAGATAGAAAAACACGGCAAGTAAATAATAACGATGTATAGTGAGGTACACATGACACTTGTTCGATCGGTAATCCTAGTCCATGGATACAGGTGGTAGGTAAAAATAGGTAGGTTTATAATATAATGAGGCGTACTACGAGTTTAGTTTATATTTTGCACATCAAAAACGGCGACGGGAATGGTTCGTCATCATTCCGCTTTCCCGGGCTCGTTTTAATGTTATCTACCTAGGCAAGTGAAAAAATAATAGTAGTAAAAATAGCTCTCACAAAATAAATGCGAGCGATGCATTATATATATTATATTGTGTTTTTATCCGTGGTGCTAAAATCCGCAAAGGACGACGGGAAAAAATAAACGCGTGTTTCGTAGTAGACCTAAAAAACTTTTCATTTTGCCATATATATAATAATATAGCATAATCATATATCGTATATGAGTACATATAATATTTTTTTTTAGGGCTCGAAATCACCCTACACCTTCGTCACAAGCGAGGCAACATGTCACGCGTATACCACCCTCGTTATATCATATTATTTAACAAGTTTAGTCCCGTCGCGCATCGGTCTCGTCCAACTGCGATAAACGAGAAAAAAACATTTTCGTCCGACCGAATTGCAACTGGACTGAACGTGTGTGATTTAGAGAACATTATATTACAATGTAAACATCTAACAATAATACTATAATGTACTGACACAATTATAGGTAAACGAAACAGCGTATAATATTATACAGGGTTCGATAGAGGTGTATTTAAATCGGAATCCATAAGAGTAATTTCTAAGTTATTAACCTGTACGTAGTTATTAAAACTTGGACTTAATGGTAGATTTATATAAACGACATAAGGTCATTTTATTTAGTCTATTACATAATATTACTACATCGAACAATGTTAAAAAATGAATATTGATTACTTCTCCTTCTGGCTTATAATATTCAACCAGAGATTTTACAACATGTCGCTATCATCCACCACTTCTCGTAATCTTAAATTATTTTTCTCAAGTGGTTTACACCTAAAATTTCCAAGTCATTCTAAACCATATTATACCACCTTTTCTGGGCCACCTCGGTGTCTCTTCCCTGTTGGTTTCCAGTTCATTGATGGCTTAATTGTGATATGGTATAATTTAGCCATGAACGAGCTATTGTATCCTTTAACCTTTTATAACATGTTTGACAGGGTGCACCCCCGATTTCTTTTATAGCTCTTTATTAAACTTTCTCCTCCTCATGCCAGTGTTGCTGTATGATTTGGGTTCACATATCTTTAGCTAAATATTGTATTTTTATATTTTTAAAGGCACTAACTAAAATTGTTGTTCTGTCATACTAGTAGTCGTCAATGCTTACCAGTGGTAGGTAATAGTGTGGGACTTATTATTGTTATGTATAATCTAGACTTGATTGTCTTCGAAAGTATTTTTGACTTAATAACTTAAGATATTTATATAGTGTAAAGAACACTCACTTCGCTTTCGCTATTCTTAGGTACTCCAATTTCGCGTGACTAGTCGTTTTTTGTATTTAAAATAATGCCAAGGTTAACATTTGTTATCCGTTTCGTAAGTCTATCCTTTTAAATAATTTTTTTCCATTTCGTTGTTTAATAATTCCATGGTTTTATTTTTTTATTTTTTTAGTTTTTCATCCACGCTAAATGTTTGTCTATTTTTCCACAACTACCTCTTAGAGTCTTAACACTGCGTGTGACGGAGTGCCATGAGTTTGGCAGACCTCTGTCGTTTGTGAATAATAATTCCAGAGGTTTTATATTATAACGTTTGAACTATATTGCTCTATTATGATACATACATTTACACATGATTGGGGTTCAAATAAGGTTACGTCTATACCGTATCGGCCAGACTTAACTATGTGATCCAAATGCTGCAAATGGGCGGTGGCGTTTGAGTTGTTGGTATTAAAAATATGTTGCTTATATTGTACATACTTCAAAGTTCCAAAATCAAAGTATTTCATAAATACATTATTAAAGGAGTATAATTGGGTTGAGCATGCTTAGTGTTTTTATTTTTGCCCTTCTACTCTCCCACCCTCATCACTCATCACAATATTTTTTCTATTACTAATACTCAATCAACGTTTCGTCCGTCAATGGATCACATTAAAATGCAAAAGAAGTTTAATATACCTATCATTGAAGGCATTTGTGGGTGTAAAACTCATTATACAAGTATTTCAATTTATAAACTTAAGAAAACCTTTTTGTACCTATCGGTTTTTATTTTTTGCGACATTTAAAATAGATAAATTAAGTTCCTAGCATATATTAATATGAAGAAAATTCAAATAAAAATTAGTAGTTTTTTTTCTTCGTCTAAAAATAAAACATGAAATGTATCGCTGCATTTCATCAGAATTTACAATTTTGCGAGTTACTGAATTTTGTCATTTATTTCTTTTTGGTAATTGTTCAAAATCGAAATAAAATAACAACTTAACTTGACATTTTATGTGCATATAAATTATAGATTTTAGTATTTTATGGACATGATGTAACTTTTAGATTACGAGGGATCTTAAAAATCTGTCATTGTTCCTGTTCGTTTAGAATATATGATTTGTGAGCAATATCCATAAAATATCATAATGTATTATACACACATTATTGTTATGAATGACTGATGGAAAATCGTTGTTCTAAATTGCACCCCCCCCCCACCCCCACCTACCCACACATCCTGAAAACCATACATTTCATCGAATTCAGCGATATTTTATACGGTCTTAATATTGTTTACCAAAAAATACATGAGCGGAGGTGTGCGAAACGAAACTTGACTGTCGTCTAACACTGTGCATCATAGTACCGTTCGTAAATTGTGTTATACAAATTTAAACGGTAACAGAACTAATAACGTTTCGGGTGGATAGAGCTGGTTTATCCAATTTTACGAATTTTCTTCGGTACGCCTATTATACTATACATATTCGCACAATGGCTTACGAAAATAGAAACTGTCTGCGCGCTTATTTCGATAAAATATATTATACTCGTCGGCATTAGATGTACCCGCCATCGGCGGCGACGAACGTATTGTGCGTGAAAACGTATTGGCACTGATGTTTTATGTTTCCTTTGCTTTTAGGATACCAATTCAAAATCAAATTCGACAAACAACGGGACACCGGAAAATGACGAGTACGAGGACAGCGGAGAGGTTGCTCTGACAGCGCTGCCGCTGTTCTGCATTGGTAAGTCGAACGCAGAACAAATCACGTCGGCTTGAACGGTATAAGGCCACACCAATCTATACAGTACGATCGTAATAATGGCGTATACGATATATGTTATGAAATATGTCACACAGTCAACAATGCATGGTTCATGTTTCGCTGCAGACGAGTTTTCAATAAATACCTATTTGTTCGTACAAATCGACGTGATTAAAAATGACATATATCATCGCGGTATAATCCAGTCGCCGAAGTACGTGGAACCTAACCTCGCGGGGGTAGACAATTTATTTTTGTTAGACTAATGTTGCTACTTAATACTATACATTACAGTACTAACGGAAATCACGAAATATTATAATTTCGTATAACTCGTAGTAGTGACTAGTGAGTATAAGGGGATAGACTTTTATAGTTTTATGTGTAATTTTAACGTCCTTTAAGCGCATATTTAAACATATTTCAAATACTTAAAAGTCCATTCTCGCTAAATCCAGACCGATTTTATTCGTGACTGGTTTTGGGCAAAAATCTGTTTTTTCGTAATTTTTTTTGATTTGCCAAAAATTGTTGCTTAAGATTATTTTAAAGAATACTGGAAAAATTCTAATTCACCCCATAGTACAAAATAGATACAATTTACTACCAGAAACCTCCCAGAAAGGCGTCTTCTAAGACAAAACAAAATAATAAATTTAAAAAAAAAAGCATATTGTAAAACTAATACATATTCATCGCTCTACTCGGAATCCAATATCACTATTTATTGTCCTTGCATAGTATTACGTTGATAAAAATCATAGGACTTACTGACTGCACTTTTAAGACAAAATTCATAAATTTTGAATTTTATTGATTCAACCCGACAAGAAACCAGAAACAATTCAAATAAACGTCAAAATATGTTATTATTTTACATTTTAATGGCTTTCGTTTTCAATGGTTAATTGTTTTGAAATGTTTGGCATAACAACAGTCGTACATTATACTGCTTATTCATGTTTTCCAGGATCGTTTCTAATCGTCGTTATATTCTTGTCGATCGCCGGCAACGTGCTGGTGTGCATGGCCATCTACACCGACAGGGGATTGCGAAGGATCGGCAACCTGTTCCTGGCCTCGCTGGCGATCGCCGACCTATTTGTCGGAGCGTTGGTCATGACTTTCGCACTGGTAAACGACCTGCAGGGCTACTGGATGTTCGGCGCCAAGTTCTGTGACATTTGGACTGCTATAGACGTGATGTGCTCCACCGCATCCATTCTCAACCTATGCGCCATATCACTCGACAGATACATTCACATCAAAGACCCACTGAGGCAAGTGGTGTGACTTAAATATCAGGATTTGACCAATGACCGTATTTATGTATATTTATTTTTTATAATGTGATAAAAACCAATAATACATTTCAAGTTTTGACCTTCCCTGCAGCAAAAATGATTGTACACAGGTACCTAATATAATAATTAGTTGTCAGTCATTACCTATCCACCTATATATTCTGTCATACAGATGTATATATAATTAGCTGTAAATTAATTAGCTTTCGGAAAATCCTTTCTTAATGCACTCTTACATGTTGTACGAAGGTACAATGTAAATTTCAAGTCTCGACCTTTCATAGTGTTGCCTGTCAAGAGCATGTTTTAGTTAGTTAGGACATCTTCTTTTATATAGATTTATACAGATTACGATAATATTACTTTTTTACAATTCAAAAAATATTAGAAAATGGTTACACATTATGAATAATAATGTCAGTTATTGATTATTTCATCACTATTGTGACTGCCAAACGGGTTTTTTTTTAAGAATACGTTGATTCACTTACGTTATTGTACTCCTCCCTCCCCTTGAAAATCACTTGATATACATACCTACTTAATTTAGACTGCTATTTATCTTGATAATCGTACACCACTAAACGTAGATACCCATAATATAATACTATTGTAAAACCTGCAACGGTGCTTCATCGATATCGTAAATCCAGGTGCGCGTATAAATCCCATACAAATTGGTTCGCGCCAAATAGGATACACCCCAGTACGTGGCATAGCTATCTAAATATCTTCAACTGTTTCCATTTTACTGCGAATCTATATGTATTAGGTTTTGATTTCCCGAAATCTTTGTATATCTAGTTGGGTACGACTGGGGTGTAAAGGGCTTACGATATTATTGTCTCGGAAGTTAAAACGACAATGACATTTGCTTATTGGATGAGCTATAGCGACGACTGTTTTATTTTACGTTTCATTTTTACGTAACATATATTTTGTTTGTTGCAATAAATATTATTATTATATTTTTTAAATATTTATAATACGATATACTATACTACTTTATTATGTATTGCTGAATACAAGATAATAATTCTACCATAGAAGCGAGGTAAAAACAATTACAAGTACAAATACCATCTTTTATTTTTTTGATTTTATAAAACATGCTTAAGCCCAAGATAGAAAAATGAAAACGAATAATTGTATGTTTAAATATTTTAAAGTGAAACATCGTATTTTCTAATGTATTTCGTGGTTTACGAAATAAAAATCATAATAACTGCAGTCAGTATATAAAAGGGGTACTTGCGTGATTTGTACAGTTTATTTTTTCATTACAACAAATTCGAAGAACCCGTGAAAATGTAATTTATAATAAAATCGAGCTGATGACATTTTTACAGGTCCATTTTCTAATTAACCATGTATATAATGTTGCAATTATTTAGAAACAATATTAAAATTGAATACCAAGTGCTTTTGCTTCTTAATAATAAAGACGTTATCATTATAGCGAGAATACACTTAATATACAAGAATGAAATGTTGTAAAAACTACTGTTAATTTAAAACATTGTAACCTCCTCACCAATTACGACTTAATGAGTTGTAAAAAAAAACGACTTTTATTTTGCTAAGATATCAAAAATAATAATAGTAGTGTATAAAAATATATACTTATGATGACTTATAAACTGACGTAGGTAACAAAAATAATTAATAGATTCCGGGCGCGAAAAAACCTACGAAAAAATGTATATTAACTACCAGCTAAAAAAATATGTTGAAATATTCTAAAACTTTTTTAACAACGTGCATATACCGGTAAATTTAACGTGCAGTGTCAGATAAACTTTAAGATGAACTTTAAGAACTTGCTAAGCTTAATTTAAGGAAAAATTATCTCAAAAGTAGTTTTTATTCTTTATGAATGGCCTATGGGCTTGAGTATAAAAATATAAAGTAACTTCTACACTTACAGTGAATTTTAAAACGAGTAAAATATCGTGTATAATTAGTAAGGTATCCAACATTTTAATCCGTCCGCAATTAATTAAAATCAACGAAAAAAATAATGTTACTTTAATCTCAGACCCATTTGTTACTAACCATAATATTCTCATATCAATAATTTTATACTACATGTTAGAATATTGTAGTTTTGAGTTTTTATTTGATACACAACAGATTTATTCTAAAACTATTTTATTTTGTCATTTGTGCTTTCTAAGTTCTAAAAAAGAATATTATTTGCATCCTTAAATCTTAAAAATGCGATAATAATATTAATTTCAACAGCAATAAGATTGAACTCAACTTAATTATTGATTTTAACTAAATTCGTATTTTAATAATATGCCTGGATTAATTTTTAATGATTATAGTTTTGAAATTTCAGACTTTTGGCATTCAAAACCGATGTAACTATAACGCGTGAAGGTACAATGTAGCGAAATGTTATTCGTACCATTTTACGAACGGATTTTAGAACAAAAGTGTACACATAAAAGTTGTACGATCGTTAAATTTGATTGACGACTGGTAGCAGTATGTAACATAATCGAAAGCCACAGGTTTACTCATGACTTGCTTAATCATATTGACGTGTTAAAATTCACTGCCGGTATCCAAGTATCGGGGCTATACGCGGTTGGGCGAAGCATAGGGTGGGTAACATTGATTCGAACCCAATTACGCGGGAAAGTTGATGAACGAACGTGACGGGCATAGTAACCCCCGGTGTTCGCGTTAGAGATAGTGAAATTAAATTGGAAAAAGTGGTTGCCATTTTGACCTTAAATTTTTTTTTTTTACTTTTTCGTTGGAGCGATATACCGCACGGTTTACGCACTATAACGTCTAATCTCTGGTGGAATTCGTTTAAGAACAACAGCTGTCTTGCACCGTGTAAATGCTTTCATCAAGTGTCATCAAATTGTCTATTCCCGAAAAAATAATGATAAAAACAAGTTTTTAATGCCAATATTATTATTGTTATTCAATATCATTTCGATTATACTCGGAAAAATATTTCCAATCAGGACAAGCAAGTCACACTCGTAGCTTACCTTATAACTCAAAACCTTATACCTAAATCAGTTTACCGACCTCCTTTTAGTTAGCAAAATGGTGTACCATCAATAAGTTAAATTGTATATTTATGCATTACATGACGCCTACGTCTTATTATGCATTTAAATCATATTTATGTACCTATAGGATATTTAATTTAAAATCACATTGGGTTTTATCAAAAGATTAGTTTTTCCTCCTCGCGTAAATATTTCAAAAGCAAAAAATTGATCTTATGATCAAATTTTCTTATTTTACTATGACGTACAGATTGCAAGTATCTGTTTTTTTTTTTTTTTTAAACTAAATAAGTAATAGATTTATTTATTATGACATATTCGATGAATTTTATATTAAATGATAGTTTAAAAAAAAATGTAAGAAAAATGTATATTATGTTCTTCTGCTCAGTTTTTTCGATCCAGTCCATATTCTTAGATTGACATGACCGGATTTAGGTAAACCTCGTTATTGCTTATTCATCATTATATTCCAATAACAATAATATAGGTACCTATATTATATAATCAATGACTGAATTTATTATTGCTATTCCAAAATGCAAATGCAATACACACTGCTGCAACGGTGATGATATATTATATTATGTAAATCTGAAATCGAACACTACACTATATTATTATTATTATTGTAATGACTTTTGTAAACAAGATTATTATCACGGTGCACCATCAAAACATATTAAAAATGTAAAACGAAATATTATTCCATCCGTCACGGAGACGATGTATTTTCGACGTACACCCTGACGCGACGCGTATAACAATAATTATTACATCACCCTCGAGCTATATATTATTACATTATACTGTTTATCACAATTGTTTATTCCGGTCGACCTGAAAACGCAATCCCGACGGTTTGCCAACCGAATTCAAAAGTTCACTCTTGTTCCGAGTGACCGCTATAATTTTGTTTGTCGTATAGTTTAAAAACATATATATATAAATAATATGTATGTGCGTGTACTACATATACCCACCGGGCCACCGCTCGTCGCCCGAGTCAGTTTTTCCCGTTGACCGCGACCCCAAGCCACAGGACGCCCCTACTTTGCGGTCGCCGTGTGCATAATAATATTATAATATCATATTATTATATTATACAACAATACGTTCAAACGGACGTCGCGCCGCCGCCCTTCGCGAAAATATTTAATCGCCCTCGTTATCGCCGCCGGAAGTTTTTTTCGCCCTCCAGCCACCTCGGCAAGGTCGATTTGGAGGTCGTCGTCGCTGAAGTTTACCTGCGATTTCGTACGGAATTCTAGCGCGACGTGAGAATAGATCCCGGGAAAACAGCATCACGGAGACAGCTGCAGCAGACGCGGTGTACTAAAATAATATAATAATACACATTTATAAATACGACGACGTGTGCTTATACTTATGTGCCCGCATGCTCCTCTACGACTAGTTATTATTATATTGTTGTGGTTATGTAGGTACCTAAACGTCTGACCGCCCGGGACCAAAGGCCGTCTCTGGAGTAAACGCCATTTGCATTTTAAAGACGTCCCCGCGATACACGGCCGCCCTTGTATAATCCTCGAAATTGCAAACGCTATTTGGCTGGCGACCCTCCCGCGGAATAAGCTCGCGAGGCTTAAGAATTTCTGTGCTTCCGTTTATAATCGACTGCGTTTTTTGTTTCTTCGAAACCGTCGCCGCCATCTCTCTAGACCGTTGAGGAATTATTATTGCAATACGTACACATGACGTGAAATATATTATTCTTTTTGTGTTATATTTCAGTGGCAGCCCAGCGATACCTACCTCGTGTTCATCATGTCATCACGGCTCATTACGTCATGACGACGTAAATAATATTATAACATAAATATATTATTTTTTCGTACAATTTAAAATCACTATAGTCAGTCGCGTCAGACGTGCACACTTGACCGTCGAGTATAATATAGGCACTGTATAATAATA